GACTGATCATCTAGCTGGCCACCCAGAGTCAGTCGACCATCCTAATAGTCGGCCACCTAAAGTCAACCGATGAGCTGACCACCCGATCAGTCGACCACCTAGAGTCAGCCGACCAGCAAACAAGCAGGCCATCCACAGGTATCCGAATAGCCGACCTGTCAGCCACCACATAACCAGTTGACCAACCGACTGAAGACCGACCAATGAGCTCTTGAATGATAGGATTCCATGAACAAAAAAGACAAGAATGCTCTATAATATCCCTTTTAAGCATGGGTAAAAAGGATAGTATAGAACATTCTTGTCTATTTACTTTTTGTCCTCCTATCATCTATAAATAAGACCTTTTCATATTTTGAGACTCTTCTTTTTTGAGATTCCCCTCTATGTAACTGTCTCATTTGATAAAATAAAACGGGCAAAAAAGCTCCAGAATGCCCCATTTTGGCCCTCGGGGCCACGCCCTTGTGCTCATTATCTCACTTTCTCTCCTCTTTTTCCCTCACTCTATTTTTTCCTCCTGGTTCCTAAGGCTCTATCCCTTAGGGTCTGATTCGTAGGACAAATCGGGATTCAACATCCTTAAAGTGCTGTGAGCTTGAATCATGCCACCAACAAGAAGGGGAATACACTAAGGAGAAGAAAATCCTCACGAAGACATTCAAATGAGGAGAATACACTAAGGAGAAGAAAATCCTCACGGAGACATTCAAATGCATGATACACAATGAAATCGTCTGTCAATGCTCAAAGCATCCAAAAATTTGTAAATAAACTCGACACAAAAAGAGCTATGGAGGCGTTGCCCTACCTAGTAGCTACAAGTTGTGTGAAAGGTATGACGTAAATCACCTAGTAGCGAGTACTCGCGATAACCCCCACGAAGGCAGCGACAAGATCCACTTAAAACCCCCACAAAGAAAATCCTCATCGAGAGAACAACATGTGGTAATCACGGTAATCATGAACAAGAGAGGAAAGCAGACGCCCCGAGCAAGTTGAAGGGGGGAAGCCGGAAGAAGGGGGGTGAATGAAAATTAATTTAATTAGAATTTTAAAGTTATATTGTTATTGATTGTAATTTTAAAATTTTAATTAGTTAGTCGATTTTTTTTTCTTTTCAACTGATCCGGTTAAAAGTCAAATTGCATCAATGTTTAATGCAAAAAAGTGCTTTGCTGACCTTGAAAAGATTCGATGACCATCCGACTCATCGTCAGTTACCCTCCAGTGGGTGGCAGAGTGAGCATGACTTTCCAGTGGATGACCGATGGATCGGCCGACCACCACATTACAGACAGCGAACGAGCCTCCAGAAGACGATTGACCAGCCACCACCCTTTAGGGGACAACCGATCATCTAGCTGGCCACCCAGAGTCAGTCGACCAGCTTAATAGTCGGCCACCTAAAGTCAACCGATGAGCCGACCACCCGATCAGTCGACCACCTAGAGTCAGCCGACCAGCAAACCAGCAGGCCATCCACAGGTATCCGAATAGTCGACCTGTCAGCCACCACACAACCAGTCGACCAACTGACTGAAGGCCGACCAATGAGCTCCTGAATGATAGGATTCGATGAACAAAAAAGACAAGAATGTTTTATACTATCCCTTTTAAGCAGGGGTAAAAGGGATAGTATATAACATTCTTGTCTATTTACTTTTTGTCCTCCTATCATCAATAAATAAGAACTTTTCATATTTTGGGACTCTTCTTTTTTTGGATTCCCCTCTATGTAACTGTCTCATTCGATAAAATAAAAAGGGCAAAAAAGCTCGTGAATGCCCCGTTTTGGCCCTCGGGGTCAAGTCCTTGTGCTCATTATCTCACTTTCTCTCCTCTTTTTCCCTCACTCTATTTTTTCCTCCTGGTTCCTAAGGCTCTATCCCTTAGGGTCTGATTCGTAGGACAAATCGGGATTCAACATCCTTAAAGTGCTGTGAGCTTGAATCATGCCACCAACAAGAAGGGGAATACACTAAGGAGAAGAAAATCCTCACGAAGACATTCAAATGAGGAGAATACACTAAGGAGAAGAAAATCCTCACGGAGACATTCAAATGCATGATACACAATGAAATCGTCTGTCAATGCTCAAAGCATCCAAAAATTTGTAAATAAACTCGACACAAAAAGAGCTATGGAGGTGTTGCCCTACCTAGTAGCTACAAGTTGTGTGAAAGGTATGACGTAAATCACCTAGTAGCGAGTACTCGCGATAACCCCCACGAAGGCAGCGACAAGATCCACTTAAAACCTAGACCTAGGCGATAATCCATCTGAGCAAATAAGATGTGCAAGGAGTAAGACTCTAGTCAGGCGAAATCATATCCAAAAACTTATCAACTATCTCTCTGGGACAAGGTTGCTAATCAACACAATCAACCCAAAAGTCTTTGGACATCTCTTCGGAGCCAGCGAAAACATGGAGCAAAAAAATTGCTAAAAACTATGGGAGTACAACTGATGCATTATTATGACCATATTCTTTGTATTGATAGTTTCTCATTCTTATCGCAGCTTCTCTTCAAAGAAGATACTTGGGGAGATTAATATGTATAGCAAAAAAGTGCTCCACTGATGTTGAAGAGATTCGACGACCGAGCGAGCATGACACTTCAGTGGACGACCAATCGATTGACCACCACCTTCCAAGGGACGACCTACCAATCTACTAACCACCACCCTCCAGGGAACAACTGACCTATCCACACCCTCTAGTGCACGAATAGTTGAGCACAACCCTTTAGTGGATGACCAAACGACTGACCGACTGACCGACCACCACCCTTTGGGGGATGACCAGTTGACTGACAGACCTTTGATCTCCAGGGGATGACTAACAGATTATCACGCCACCCAAATTCAGCTGACCATCTAGAGTTGACCGATCATCCGACCAACCACAGTCGGCTGACAAGCTAACCAGCCGCAGACAACGACTAGCTGACATGCCAACCATCACATAACAAGCCAACCATCCAACTGAAGGTCGATTGATGAGCTCCCAAACTATAGGATTCGATGAAAAAAAGATTAGCATGTCGTGTATTACCGCTTTTAAGTAGACGTAACGTTGTAACTTTACCTTTTGTCCTCCTATCATCTATAAATAGGAGGACCCTTTCATGTTTTTGGACTCATCTTTTCTGGGATTCTCTTCTATATAAACCTCTCATTCAATGAAATAAAAGGGACCAAAAAGCTCAGAAATACTCCATTTTTGCCCTCAGGGCCAAGTCCATGTGTTGTCTCTCTCTCCCTCTCCTCTCTTTCTCCCTCTTCCTTGATTTCTCCCTCTTGGTTCCTAACACTATCCCTTGGGTGTGATTCACTTTGAAATACAAGGGGCCAAACTGTAAATATTGTTTGCTATCCAATTTTTCATTCTTGCAACCTAACTCAAATTTTAGCATACTCACATTTGTTTTAGCCCGACATCATAAAGAAAAATAGTATCACTATATATATATATATATATATATATATATATATATATATATATAAATTATAACGTAAGATTGTAACTAACATGGGAGGTGAGCTAAATGAGAATTAACTTGACAATATCTCGTATTCATTACATTTAAGATTTTTAAATAATGAGTTAAAATTAATATAATTTATAGAATATTTTTGTGAATAATTGTAATTATTGGATTGAGAAATACAAGTAATTAGAAAGGTTAAATAAAAGAGTCACTTATATATAATCAGGACCGATTTTTTAGGTCCAACCAACAATTCTAACATATTTTCATATGTTTGAGATTAAGTTAGTAGGATTTCATAGCTCCTATAAATTTGGAATCACTAAATCATGGGATGGTTGAACCCCAAACATCCTTTTGCAACGTATGTAGTAAATCCATTTAAATTTTATCTTGCCCAGGTGCCCAGGGTGACGACTAGGTGCCCAGTCCGACGCCCGAGAACAGAGCGGATGGTGCCTAGGCGCATCGAAGTTATCAAATTTCATTTTTTTTCCTTACTTTTTTTGATAAAATTGAGCCACATGGAACGTTAGGATTGGTCATGGAGTGACGTTGAGGGTTCCATGTGCACCATGGTACATCATTTTGCAAATGTCCAGTAAGAACATCCATAACTAAAGCAAAATAAATGAGCTTAAAGTTGATCCCTGATGTAATCCAATTCAAAAAGGAAAAATACTTAGTTAATCCCCCTTCTGTTTTAACACAAGTAACAACTCTTCAACACATATCTTTAATGGCTTGAATATAATTCATATCAACTCCTTTTTTTTTCCCCTAGACCTCTCAAAAAAAACTTCTCTTAGAATTTCATTGTAAGCTTTTTCCAAATCAATAATAATAGAAAAAGGAGCAATTACAAACCACACAAAAGTTCTTATTTACAAATCAATCATCCTCTTTCATTTATTTACCAATTTTATCAAAATCTCAATAGTTTTCATGGTGGCATGCACAAATACATTAATTCAGTAGTTCAAAAAAATCATCTGGGTGAATAATTTGTAAATATCAATATTTTGGGCGGTCTGTATGTAACTATTCCTAAAAAAATTATTCATACAAAATTGACACATTCATTTGATCGGGCCAGGTGACGGTTTTGATTACGTTAGTAGACCATATAAATGATATATTGCTCAATAATGATAATAATAACAGTCTTTTATTGAGATGCTTACATTCATGGAACATTACATCATTTTTTATCACCCATATGGTGGGGCATGGGAAAGGACTCCAAAAATCTTAAAAAAAAAAGTTTAAGTGTACTATAAGGCCAACATGCACAAAGAAAAATGCCATAATTCATGTATTTTTTATATAAAAAAAAGAAAATTTATTTATTCATATAAAATCAAACTTCCCTTCTTAAAATATATATCACCCAAAAATCATAATTTCAGCTTACTAACTTCTTATTTTTAAGCTCTTTTGGCTCCACTTGTGACAGATTGAAAACATATTCATTTTATACTCATGAAAAGTGCTCCTTTTTACAAATCATGGGCACAACAATAATTAACCCATCATCATTCCAATCCCCCAACCAAAAAGACCACTTATCTTCAACAGATACCTCCATACTTGCCAACCTGTGCCAATTCCCACTCTCCCCTATAAGCCCTCAGCCAAATAACTAAAGCTACCTCTTTTCCTCTCATGGCCACCACCTCAGCCATGTTTATTCTCTTCCTCCTTCCCCATCTCACCGCCAAAGCTACCCCGCCTTCAACGACCTCCTTCATTTCCGCCTCGCCGTCCATCCTCCCCTCCATCGAGCCTTCGCTGCCGCCGGACATAATGCCGGTGCTCCCTTCTCCTCAAACTGGCTACTCGCCAGACGGCTTGCTTCCCACCATCCCGTCCAACCTGAGCCCCCCTAATCCAGACTCACTCGACCCGAATTCCGCCTTCGCACCCTTCGGCCCCTCGGATTCGGCCAACGCCACCCCATCCGCGGCCTCCCCGCCGCCAGCCTTGTCTTGCTTTCTCCTTGGCCTTGCATCCATGTGGTGGTTGGAGTTCTCCTGCAAGTGATTTCAGTTTATGTAAGTGGGTTCGGTGGAGATCACTGCACTCATTGTTTTAATTATTATTATTATTATTATTTATTAATGTGTTGTCTCTAATTTGGGTTTGCATTTTGATTTATTGTATGGATAGAAAATAGTTGAATTTAATAAATTTGCAGCCTGGTTCAATCCATTTGTTGGAATTCGGCCTTCCAAAAGATTTGAATGCAATACTTCTTAATTAAATTTGCAATATATGTTACAAAAATATTACACTTGGAATTTTTTTTTTCAGTTTTATGTTTATACTTTTTTTTGCATGATCTTGATTTTTATGAAAATATTTACATTAAATATATTGTTACTGATTATAAAAAGAATAAAAAATGTTTACTTGTCATCGCGAGCAGTTTGTGTTCGGTTCGCCAATGAGTTCGTGTTCGATTCATTCGATAAGTAAACGAGAGGAACGTGAACAAATTTTTTTCGTTCGGTTAGTTAATTAGTTAAATGAATAAAAAAAAACAGTGATGCATTCGTTCGTGTTTGAATCATTATTGTTCGAGATATAAAA